CAACAGACAGCCTTGAGCAATCAGCCTTTTGAGGGACTGCCTCAGGGGCAGCAAGCTACCATGCCCAAGGTCACGCCCTTCCCAGGGGGGCCCACAACCAATGAGTGATCAAGATGGGGGTATAGACAGTTGGCCATTCCAGTCCAATGCAGGACAACTTTTACAGGCCATTTTTGTTCCAAAACTTATGGTGGTGTCAGCAGTCTGTGTCATTGGTCCTATGTAACCTGATTCCTCCCTCTGCCTACTCATGCCATATCTAAGATTTCAAATAAGCTTTACTGAAAACAGTCATTTCAAAGATACAATTTCCAGAAACAGTTAAAGCACAATATATTTTGGTATCAAGCTTTGGGGGCAAAATATTTAGCCAATAAAAATATGCTAAAAAACGCAATTAAAAAAATAAAAAGACAAGCCATGGACTGGAATATTTACAAATCATCTTTCTTTTAACATTTCTTTCAAGGCAAGTGTACTGGTGACGAATTCCCAGTGCGATATTGTCCTTGTTTTGTCTCAGAAAGTCTTTATGTCTCCTTCATTTCTGAAGGGTCATTTTGGGGATACAGAATTCTAGGTTGGTGGTTGGAGGTTTGGTTTTCCCCATAACTATAAATATTTCACTTCATATTCTCCTCGTGCCTACATGGTTTCTAAAGAGAAGCCCAGTGTAATTCCTCTGTAGGTGAGCTACTTCGTGTGCTGTTGGCTACTCTTAAGAATAAAAGCACAGCCTTTCCCTCTAGCACTTGATTCCATACTGCCAGTTTAATTTAACCAATATATATTCCAAACACTGAGCTAGGTTCCAAACACTGAGCTAGGTACTTGGAGAGGATCTGAAAAACACGGATTCCGTAAGATAAATCGGAACTAGGCTGTTCATGTCTACAGGGAGCTTAGAAACTCAGAGGCTTTAAGACAGAACATTCTGTTTTGTCAATGAAACTACGAAGTTTTTGAGGGTAGGGACTTTATCTTTATTGTGGTCAACCACTACTCAATCTTCTTTACATTTGCTTCCTGGGTTACTAAGGAGAATTACAAACTGGACAATCAGGCATTCTATAAATCTCTATCAGTCTTAGTTGCTCTCTGACTGTTGGCCATCAAAACTTTATATCTTTTTGGTTCCACAATAAATTCCCCATGGTAACCATATTGTCAAGTTATAATACAGCACGCTCCTCTTTTCCGTCACCCCCCTCAGAAAATATTACACTTCCCATTTAACTAAAAAGAGACAAACCGGGCGCCTGGGTGGCTCAGTTGGTTGAGCGACTGCCTTCGGCTCAGGTCATGATCCTGGAGTCCCTGGATCGAGTCCCGCATCGGGCTCCCTGCTCGGCAGGGAGTCTGCTTCTCCCTCTGACCCTCCCCCCTCTCATGTGCTCTCTCTCATTCTGTCTCAAATAAATAAATAAAATCTTTAAAGAAAATAAAAAATAAAAAATAAAAAATAAATAAAAAGAGACAAACCGCATGCCTCCTTATCTACATGTAAATAAGAAAATCTTTTTTTTAAGAAAATCTTTAATAGTACAAAAGATCTACTAGATGTTAAGTATTGTTTTAAAAAATGGATTCACAAATGACAAGCTTCCATATGACATTTCAGTATTCCAGTTACTCATTTCAGAAATGCATCTCAGGCAGAAAGTTCAGTCAACAATATATCTTATAGTATCTTAAAGGCATGTCTTCATATCAGCTGGAAATAAATCCTTTTTGGATAAAATAATCAAAATGTTCTGGGCAACTGTTATCCAAGTTTTTCACTGATTTAATCAAATCCCCTAAACAGAACCTTTGTCCTCTTGGAAATATTTATTCTCTTTTCAAAATATTTTAAGGGTTAAATTCAGAATATAAAACTTTAAGATAAGCTTTTCACCATTTTAAATGTTTCACTCACTCAGGTCTTCTTCACCTCATGCGAACTTCACACTAACGATTCAAAGAGCTAGAGTATTTTCCAAATAGAAACATCTTTTTTCTAGTATTCCTGCATAAAAAGATTTCATTGCATTCTATGTAAGCATCAGCAAGACAAAATAAAGTGTGCCAATTTGAAGACAAAAGGAAGCTGAATGATTAATCACTATATATTTCTGTTCCTTAAAATCTGATTTTGGTTGGTTAAGCGTCTGCCTTCAGCTCAGATCATGATCTCAAGATCCTGGGATGGAGTCCCCCATCAGGCTCCCTCCTCAGCAGGGAGTCTGCTTCTCCCTCTCCCTCTGTGCTCTCTCTCTCAAATAAATAAAATCTTTAAAAATATAAAATAAAATCTGATTTTGTAGAATTTTTTTCATCATATCCATAAAACAAAAATACACACTTAAAAGGTAAATGTTTTAAGTGCTTAATACTTTTTTGTGTGTTGTTTTTGCAAAGATAAACAGTTTAAATAACTGCCTACTTCCGAGAACAATTAAATCCGAAGATAAACTGTGCATTTCAGAAAACTCTAACACTATTCTCAAAAACAGCTCAATAGTGACCAATTAACCCATCTCAGTAACTTCAGTCAGACATGTTGACCTATCTCTAAGCTGGGACTTTCTCATGTTAACGAAGATGATGAGTGTATCAGGGAATCCACAACTACACACAACTTCAACAAGAGACCTTATTTATCAATGCTGCGTTCTGTTACAAGCTCACCTATACATAACTCCCTTTGGGCTTAATCTCATAATAATGACAGTGATAACAACAGATTGAGGGAAGAGGATAAATCAACAATGACAATAATTACCTAAGCACATATTTGTGCTCCATACCACCCTGGGCACTTTATTTTCTTTCTTTCCTTTTTACGTTTGTTTGTTTGTTTGTTTGTTTATTTTAGAAAGAGAGACATAGAGAGAGCATGGGGGGAGCAGAGGGAGAGGGAGAGAGAGAATTTCAATCAGACTCCCCGCTGAGCACAAAGCCAGATGCGGGGCTCAATCTCACGACCTGAGATCATGACCTGAGCCAAAATCAAGAGTCGGAGACTTCACCAACTGAGCTACCCAAGCACCGCCATACTGGACACCTTCTGTAGGCTACCTCCTTAAATCCTAACAATTCAACGGTGTCAGTAACACTATATCCATTTTACAACCATGAAGTCTGAGGCTCAAGAGGATACATGCCCAGAATTTTACAAATGTTAGATGGTGAAGACTGTGAACAGGCTTTCTCCTACAGCCTACACCCACCATCTAAAAAGAAAAGCAATTGGTAAAAGCCCTCTACAGTTATGTTTCTATAGACTGGTCAATTACTTTTTTTGGGAAACCGAAGAAATGACTTATAAGTGGAACTAAATATGCCACTTGTTTACTAAGTAAGAAACAAAAATACAAAAGAATATGCCTTGCAGTTGTACTAAGAGAACACAAAAGTAGTTGCTAGATGACTGAGCCAAACAATAAATTAGAGGTGAAAGTAGCAGCAGAATTAAAACTATTGAGCTGGCATTGGAGATTAAAAGACAGGTCCCTGATCACTGGGAAGGACCTTGAACACCGCCCCCTCAGTCACTCCACAAAGAACTGAGTAAGTCCATTGTGTGAGAAAAATACATTTTCTTCTGGACTAAGACAAAGAGATAGCAGCAACGTCTGACCAAAGATGACCAAATCATCTAGCTACAGAGTCATGACCACCACGCTCGAATCCATAATACCTGAAGACAGTGCAGGAAACAGGAGTCTTACTACCATTTTACCGATCTACTACTATCTTTCTCTCCCAAGATATAAATAAATTACTCTCAAAACATAGTTACTAGAAAGAAATACAGTAATCACATTTGCTAAGCACCTTTGAAAAGCCTCAGGGTACAATTTGGGAGACCCAGAAAAAAAGGTTACGTGTAAAAACCTAAGCCCAAAAAGAGGTAAGAGGGGACATGTGCTGGGTGAGCTGAAGAAAAACAAGAGAAATAAAGGAAGTTAAGAAGACAAATGAAACAAACAAAAACTGATGGAGTGAGAACAAATGCCCATTCAGTTTGACTCAGGCCTCATACACTAAGGCATCCAGATGAATGGCTGAAACTCCAGGGAAGAGAAAAATCAGAATTAGATGTTTTTCCCACAGCAAGAAAGTAAAATACTGAATATAAAAGTATTGAAAAGATATAACAGGTTTTCTTTTTTTTTTTAAGATTTTATTTATTTATTTGTCAGAGAGAGCACAAGTAGGCAGTGCGGCAGGCAGAGGGAGAGGGAGAAGCAGGCTCCCCGTTGAGCAGGGAACCCGATGTGGGACTCAATCCCAGGACCCTGGGATCATGACCTGAGCCGAAGGCAGATGCTTAACCAACTGAGCCACCCAGGCATCCCGATGTAACAGGGTTTCAATAGAAAATACATTTTTCATAATCCACAGATTAATAATTCCTCCAAATACATCCTCATAAGTAAATTTTTAGTTCTAAAAATGCCAATACTTTCAGAGCCATCTAATTGGTTTGGCTTTCTTTCCTCTCCCACTTCTTCCTCCTCTTACTTTCCCCTCTTCTTTTGTGCTCGCCAGTTCTCCCAGAAATAGTATATAAGATGGTGCGGTCTTCCTACCATTCCACTAGCTAGGCTACAGTTACATCCAAAAATTTCATACTTACAGATTCTCTGCATGTAACTGTTAATTCCCATTTAACTCACTGACAGTTCACAGTATTAACACCTCCACCTTACATTTTTCTTAATAAGACACTTCACATATCCATGATCTCAATTTATTCTCACAACATGTAATCTGGAAGGTAAGCAGCGTCAATAGGCCCATCATTCCCATTTTAAAAACAGGCAAACTGACACAGGGAAGTCAGGTAACCAGGACTGGGCATGAAGGTGGGGGCCTGGGGCTCTCCCACCACTTCACACTAACAGCCTTTCACGGATAACTGTAGTATTTCTCAGAATACATGCAAATGTCAAAATTTCCTAAGAAACAGCAGGTGGCTTTAAATATCTAAATTTTTCTACAAATGGACTCACCTCAAAAATGAAAATATGCTCCAATTCTTATGCTTCCACTTCAGTCCAATGAGAGCTGTATTAAAGATGACCTGTGCCTAAAAATAAGTGAATAAAAACAAAATTTCATTTTGAAGCACAGTCTGAAAGCAGTAGCTGCTTTTGCTTAATACACATATTTGTTCTCTTTCACTTAAATTTTTTGTTCTCTTTTCATGTAGATTAAAAATTATATGGATGGAAAAGATAAAGAGGAAAGAAGTCACAAAGGATCAAATATTGTGATGAGCACACTAACATGCCATCTGATTTAATCCTTGCAGTAACTCTGAGAAGTACTTAACTTCTAAACAAACTAAAATTCTAAGACTTACACTAGGATCTGAACATACCAATGCCTCAGAGGTACTTTTTTTTGCATCTTTTTACATTTATCTAGCATTTCACAAACTATATATAGAATAGGCATATTCAATTTTTTCCTATATGTAGTTAGACTTGTATATTTAGCTCAAGGTCTATAAACACACATAGTAACCTAGGTATTTAAAATGCAGACCCACACTACGAGTGCGTGTTATTACATGACATATCTGTGTAACTGACAATATTATAATATATATTGTGAATAGGTACATATCCATTAGATAGTTAAAGATTCCATATGTGTGAAAATTTTTTAAAAGTGAAATAACAAGACAAAGAGTTTGTGCTTTAAATAAGAAACGATCACTGAAAAAAAGTAATTAAATTAAAAAAATTAAAAATGATCACTAATACCACATAATGCTTAAGAACTAATAATTGCAGTATGGACTTGTCACGTGGCTTTAACAGCAATGAAAAGGGACTGTGGAGTACAGGAGTTCGAATCTGAATCCCAACTCTGTAACAGCATGAAAATACTGAAGATCAGCACTTCATTCTTCTGTTCAGATCCTCATATAATATAGTCGCACTTGCTTAGAGGCCACACATCAATGACCACCTCAGCAATGTCACAGAGTAAATTAAAAAATTACATGGCTAGTTAAATAGATGCCACATAGTCTATGTGCTAAACTTCTCCATTTTATTCAGATGCCCTCAAGCTCAGTTTAGATCATTTAAAATTTCATTTTAGAAAAAGTTCAAATGAAGCTGGTAATCAAATCAACCCAACTCAAATTTTTTAATATAAACTGTACAATTAGCTAAACAAATAGTAGATGAGGGAGAGTTTTTCTTTAGAGACATATTCCAGATAATAAATCAATATAAAGTAGAAATTAAAATATCATATTCTGCAACTCCTAATGAATTAAAGTATCTAGGCATAACAGCTACTGGTATCCGAAAAAGAAAACCAGCACATATTATGTGTCCTGAGGAAAGAAGAAATACCATTCATATATCAGGGAAGTGAAAAGAACAGGGGGAACAAAGGGAGGAAAAGAAAGAAGGAAAGAGAGAGGGGGAGGTGGGAGAGAGGAAGAAGGAAGGAAGAAACAGAGGGAGGGAGGGATGAAGGAAGGGAATGTGAATTTGATTAAATCTCTAGGTCCTTCTACCACTTTATAAACACACAGGAGAGAAGGACATGTTAACTATATCACAGAGACATCATTAGTAATATCTAGCAAAATAAATATTAATAACCATAAAGGACATTATTTGGACCTCAATCAAACAAACTATAAAAAGAAGACTTACAAATCAAATATTAACTAAATATTTAATAATACTCAGAATTAACTTTTAGTTTCAGGTATGATAATTAAATTATGGTGACAACATTTTATTTTTATTTTTTTTTAAGATTATTTATTTATTTGACAGAGAGAAAGAAAGTGTACAAGTGCCCCGGTTATAACATTTTAAAAGTGTTTTTATCTTTTAGAATAACATACTGAGGGGCGCCTGGGTGGCTCAGTCAGTAAAGTGTCTGCCTTCAGCTCAGGTCATGATCCCAGGATCCTGGGATGGAGCCCCGCATCAGGCTCCCTGCTCAGTGGAGAGCCTGCTTCTCCCTCTCCCTCTGCCCCTCCTCCCTGGGCTCCTGCTCTCAATCTATCTCTCTTTCCTCTCTCTTGTTCACTCTTGTTCACTCTCTCTCAAATTAATGTATCTTAAAAAAAAGAATAACATACTGAAGTAATTACATATACAATGGTGTATCTGAGATCTGCTCTGTTTCACACAGGAGGGAAGAAGTGGGCAGATGGATGAACCTAGATTAGCCCAGAGTTAATAAGTGCTAAAGCTTGATGGTGCTATGCAGGGATTCATTCTGCTATTCTGTCTACCTTGTATATTTGAAGGTTTCCAAAATACAATTTTTAAAAAAAATATGAGGTATACATCAAAATAAATGGTACTTCAAGTATAACAGAAGTACTTTTAAGAATTTAAAACTTAACTACATGTTCCTTTGAGATGTTTTAACAAAATAATACTAACTAATGTCTGAACTAGTAGATATTTGTCTCAATTATTTAGCTAAAATGTTATGTTCTGTATGTAATGGTCGATCTCTTTATCAACTACAGCTAGTACACTGAAAACAGCAATTTATCAGAAAATGGAAAAGTAGTGACTTTAAAAATATAGGCAAACTGCCAGACTTTAGATGTTTTACTTCCAAAGTTTTTTGTTCATTTCATTTGGCACTAAGAAGACTCATGTTGAGCTATAGTGGTGCACAGAGTTTGGCTCAAATTCTTCAAGTATGGATAATACATGTGTAATTTAAATTATTGTATGATGAATCCTGTTAAGTGAGAAACAATTGTATTCAACACAAAAAGGTGAAAAGAACAAAGGCTTTGAAATTCAATGTCTGATCCATCACTTATTAGTTTTACATCATCTCAAGCAAGTTCTAGCTCCTTCATCTGTAAAATGAGAAAAATAATTTCTTCCATATAATGTTGTGATATGTGGATTTGATTATATTATAAAAGATTCAATATATTTTAATCTTTTATATAAACTACAGAAGTGTGGGTATACACACACACACACATTTCCTAGCACTGTTCTGTTAGTGTTTCACAGTAGCTAATATTCTAATTGTCAACATCCAATCATTATTCTGCTAGTATTGTTAGGCTACCTAATATTAAACTCACTTCTCCCCAAATGCCAACAATATTCCCCACTGGCATAAATAATAATTTGGAAAACATATCCACTCTGAACTAAGAAATCCCTTTATACACTGAAGCTATAAGTGTCCTTTATGTAATCAGCAGGACAAGAATTTGCCTATAACTTTTATTTACCTAAGTTGTAAAGATTTTGGATAAATAATATTGTAACAAATGTTTAAAGATAGGCTGCTTTCAGTCACATAGCCAAATTTAAGTTACATCTGGAATATCTTTGGTGTTCGAAGAATAAATCTACCCTAAAAAATATCAAAGTTTGGGCACCTGGGTGTCTCAGTCGGTTAAGCGACTGCCTTCGGCTCAGGTCATGATCCCAGGGTTCTGGGATCGAGCCCCACATCGGTCTCCCAGCTCAGCAGGAAGCCTGCTTCTCCCTCTCCCACTCCCCCTGCTTGTGTTCCTTCTCTAGCTGTGTCTCTATCAAGTAAATAAAATCTTTAAAAAAAAAAATCAAAGTAATTCACTGGACTAACGCTTCTATAAGAAAATTCTTACCCTTGAAGATAAAGTATCAACAAGAATGGGCTTCCTTCCAACTCACCTGATGCCCTAGGGCATATTGCATGTACCTTAAAGCTTTATTTTGTTATAACTTATCATGTTTTATCAGTCATTGCTTCACATACTGGTCCCATAGTTGGAATATGAGCTCCAAAAAGACAGAGGAAGACTTACTTTCTTTTTGTATCATCAGCATTTGCCTAGGGAGTGCCTGGCAGCAGCAGGTGCTTAATACGTGTTTGCTGAATTCACATATGAGTATATATACCTTCCTTCTCTAAGGACTTCTGGATCAAATCATTAAGTAACCCCTTGTTAAACACTCCATGATGGGACTGAGCCTACCACACCTGGGACCAGAACCTGAAGAGACTTCCATTGTGGTCTTATCCTTACCCCCTACTCCGCAGAGGACACATCTACTTCAGATCATTCAAGTTCAGCACAGACTATATCCCTGGGGTCCTCTTCCAAGCCTAGCCTTCAACCTGCAATACCAGCTAACAGTTACTGACAGCACTCTTTGTGTAACGTACTACACGAAACACAGAATATACTTTAGTTCATGTGTTCTTTACGATAACCTGGGAGTAAGTATTAGTATTACTCCCATCCTACAGGTTAAGGCTAAAGCTTAAAGAGGTTATGAAATATGTCCAAAGTCCCAAGGTCATAGAGCAGAGGCAGGATTTGAGCCAGGTCTGTCTAAATGTGGTCCACATTCTCAATCACTGACTCCCCTGAACAGAAGACTCCTAGTAAACAAAACTTTTCAAAAAAGACTCTGAAAGTCCCTTGAGATGATTTAAAATGTTTTTAAATAAGCTTTTAAAAGTGACATTAGTTCCCTTTGGGGAGTCCTTCACTTTTTCCTCTTACATTTTCTGATAACACGGGGACCCTAACCAACAGAAGCTACTCTAAGACGGCAGCAGAGTTGAGGATAGAAATCATGCTTAAAGACAAAAAATCTGAGCAGTCTAGAAATCTTGTGAACAAGACTAGAAAAATAAAAAGGAGAGATGCAGAATCTAATTGTATAAAGGACTAGATCGCTCTTAATGACTAACATCTGTATAGAACTTAAAAGCTACAAAGCACATACAAATACACACACTAATTTACTAAATAGGGATTTCCTAAGGTGCAAAGCTGCACCAGAACATAGGTGTCATATAGATCTGACACTGAAACTTTCATTAGAGCCAGCAGAAATAGTAAAGGCTCATGAGTAAGACAGTTTTTCCCAAGTTTAAATCTCAGCTTTGACAATTACTGCATGGCTTAGGAAAGGTACTATCAAAAAAAAGGGGGGGGCACCTGGGTGGCTCAGTCAGTAGGCGTCTGCCTTCAGCTCAGGTCATGATCTCAGGTTCCTGGGATCGAGCCCCACATCGGGCTCCCTGCTCCACGGGAACCTGCTTCTCCCTCTCCCGCTCCCCCTGGTT